ATAATTCCTGTTCTTAGCAATTCTGATTTTTGAGCATCTTCAGTGCATGCAGGTGGGAGCTGATATCACACAGATTGGTGAAGCAGTGAATTTCTCAGGTTTCCTCGTAAGATTGTTTCGGGTCTCATTTTTCTTTCATTTAAGTACAGAGGTCTGTAAATATGATGTTTAATGTATTGTTTAGTTTCTCATCCCAACCTTTAGTCTCTCTTTGTTGTTGCTTATGATGAGAACTAAACTCTACGAAAGTCGTGTCTTTACGATGTTTCATATATATTTCTTCAAATGAAGAATTTTGTTAATCACCAGTGCTGGAGAAGGTTTTTGCGTTCGTTGAACCTGCGGAAACAGGTGGATTGCTGAATGTTAGAAAATAAAATCCACAAGCTTATACATTTGTTTTCACCATAGATCCTTTCTATTACACTTTTTATTGTCAACTAGCACATGGTATTATTAAGCTTGATCTCGTAGAATGGACGCTCAAGTAGTCAAATATTCGCCCTTGGATCAAATATCCATCAAATCGGATATTATTTATTCGTTTATGTATTTAATTTTAGAGAGCTTTAACGAAAAGTTCGTGGTACTGTTTATTTTAACGAAAAATCAAATTTTTACACTAGAAATTCAAATCTAGTATTATTTATTTTACCTTTAATTTTAATTTTATTCTTATTGTTAAAATTCAAAATTTTCAAGTTATTTTAATTAATTTTTCTTTAATTTTATTGAATATAACGGTGTTGGTAGCAAAAGGAAATTATCATATGAATTTACTGTAGACTTTGATTAATCTTAGTTTTTTTCGAACTGGGGCGGGCCAGAGCCCAGAAAACAACACAACACTTGCACAACTAGGAATGGACCTGGGCCGGTTAAACTTTCGCTGTTTAACAGATAACGATACGTCGTCGTTTCAAGCTGTTGAAATCCAAGTACCTTCTCCTCCTCATCGTAGCTACCGGCCTGGGCGGATAAGGTGATGACAGTTTGTTAACAGTTATATCGTTACCAATACAGAGGAAGCAAAAAGCCGTAAGCCGCCGCCGTTTTGCTGTAAATTGTAGAAATGGAGATAACAAGGAGCCTCCTACTCCATTCGTCTTGCTCCAAGCTCCCACTCCGCACTCCCTTCCGCCACTCTCAAGTTCCGGCTTCCACTTTCTCAATTCCGACTACGTCTCGCCCCCACTTCCGAAAACCTCTCGCCGCCTCACGCTCCGCCTCCGACGGCGGCGATTCAAGTGAGTTAAAATTTTTAATTTCTGATTTATGCTTTCATGCGCGCCCTGTTTGATAATTTGCTCTTGTCACTTTGTTTATTTGAAGGCTCAGCAGCCAAGGTTTCTGTAGCTGACCCGTCTACGGCAGTGAAGGTGAGCTTCATGTTCATGGATTCGCCTGTGTTTCATCATGAATTCTGAAATTTTAATTTTGTTCTCGTTTGAAGTGCTGATTGTAACTGTTCAGTTTTAATTCAGAACAAGGCAATAGATATAACCCCTGAGCTGAAGGGAACTTCCATATTTCTTGTGGGTAAGCATTAATTTACTCGGTGCTAAAATGCATTCAAAACTCGAATCCTTGCCTTGCGTGTTACGAAATAGAATGATGATGATCGTTTTGGTGGAAAAGGCATGAAGAGCTCCATGAAAACCAGTTTGGGGAAGCTCCTAGCCAATGTGTTGCGGTATTATTACTTTGACAGGTACCTCTATATGCTACATTTATAAAATACCAGGATAAGTTTCTTTGCTCTAGATGTATTAGCTGAACTTGTAATTTGTGTTGTTTTGTCCAGTGATAGTTTGGTTGAGGAAGCTGCTGGCGGTGGATCTGCTGCCAAATTGCTTAGGGAGGCTGACACAAATGGTTATCGGGAATCTGAGGTGATAGTTTTCGAAGTATCATTCTGATGTGGATTATTTGGGTTTTATGCATGTATAAATTGAGATATTGGTGCAGACTGAAGTATTGAAGCAATTATCATCCATGGGTCGATTGGTGGTTTGTGCTGGAGATGGTGCAGTTCAGAGTTCAACTAATCTGTAGGATTATCAAGATCACTTAGTTCTGACATCATTGTTACAATCCTTTGTCATTTATTTATATATAATGTTAGTTGTGCATTTTCTGACTCGCTTCAGAACATGTATAGGGCTCTTCTGAGATATGGAATCTCTATATGGATTGATGTACCTCTAGACTTGGTGGCCAGGGGCATGATTGAAGATCAAAGTCAGCTTCCTGCACTCAACGTATCTGCTTCAGCATCTTATCCAGAGGTCATCTCTTCCTCCTCAAACTTATAACCGTATACAACGTACTCTTGTTGGCCTGAGAAGGAAAATAAATGGACTCTACCACTTAACATTGTGCAGCAGCTTAGTCCTGATAATTCGTACTTCTGATGTTGATAACCAGGTTTTGACTCACCTGAGTACTATGTATGAAGAAGTCAGAGGTGGATATGAAACAGCTGATGCAACCGTTTCCATTGAAAGTATAACTCCGTAAATCTTTCCTTGTTCTTAATGTATTAGATTATGTTTCCTCGGCAGTTCTAACGATTTTGTTTTTGTCTGATCAGAACTAGCTTATCAATTAGGGTATGATGATTTTGGTGATGTAACCACAGAAGACGTGGCATTGGAGGTATTTAAGGAGGCTAGTTTTGAAATGCATACATTGTTTGAAATTTAAGTCAAACTGATTAAGGAGGCAAACCCTTGGATTGTTTTCCTCTCTATCTGTGGATTCAGGTTCTGAAGGAGATGGAGAAACTGACCAGAGTAAAGAAGATGATGGAAGCGGCGGCAAGACCTTTTTGACAGTCCGGCAGTGCAGAGCCCCCATTTTCATCAGTTGGAACTAGTTTCTGCTGTGATATCAAATTCTGGGGATGTCAACATGAGGCTTTGTGCATGTCGTGTGTTGGCTACAATTCTGTGTTTGTTTTCCTCATCCAAAACGGCGCATTGGCATTAGCAAGTCTCGTGAATTTAAAGGCTGGGAATTCATTCCCGAGAAATTGGAAAACTTTGATGGAACGAGATGTTAGTGTAGTGGTAGTATTTTCAAGTTTCAACGCACCTTTTTTACCTTGTGGACGCTCTGCTCTTGTTGATTTTACTTTTAATTGTTTAATCTAAAGGTTTAATAAAATAGAAGAATGTGTATGAGGTGAGAAAGCGTGGTGGGAATTATTTCTCTTAAACTATATGCTTTTATCGTTTTGCTAAAGGGTAATTGTTAGAGAGATTAAATTTCTATACTAAATTTTGTAAACTAATTGAGGTGGTTGTTGATTAAATTATTGGGAATTTAACGAAAAACTTTCGGTATTGTTCATTGTAACGAAAAACTATATTTTTACACTAAAATGTCAATCATGGTACTATTCACTTTTATCTTTATTTTGTTCTTATCGTTAAGACTCAAAGTTTTCAATCCATTTTCATTAGTTTTTCTTAGATTATTACGTAAGTATTAATTAATATGCTAATTTCTTATTGATGACACATCATTTTAGTTTACAAATTTAGTTCAAAATTTTATTCCTTCTAACATTATCCTTTTATAATACTAAAAAGTCAGAAAACAATTGAATTGGCAGAGGAGTCGTAGGATCCTGACATCCTGTCATGTGACACCACGTGCCCTATACAAAGCAGTAGGCCCTTAAAGTTTGGGGCTTGGCCCAATTGAAAATAAGGCGGGTTGGTTGTGGGTGGTGCATAGAAAGGAGCAAAGAAAGTGTTGAGGCAAAAACAATGAAATTAGCACGGGGGACAGGATAAGCCTCCTGACTCAATTGGGTCGTCGTCAGTAGACTGACTGAGTGGTTATCTGTTTAAATGTGAACCTGTTGGCACGTCTCAAGTTGACTACTGGATCGCCAGCTGCCGCGTTATGCTCGGAGGCCCATGCAAAAGTGAAATGGAGTAATGTTTTTGAAAAAGAAGGAAGAGTGGGCACGAGGCTGGAAGGGGACTTTGATGATGAGATTGGACTGTGCTTGAGATTCCTGGTTTGATTATTATGTTTTTACTGGCAAGAAATTTTATTTTTTAAGTTATTAAATTTTTAACACATATATTTCATTATTTGTATAGTGGTATGTGATGTACCATCTCGTATGTTGGTCACATTGAAAAATCTCTCGTCATGGAAATTTTTTTTTATTGTGACGGAAACACGAGTGTTATATTACATGTTTTTATGTAAGAAGGGGAAATTTTATTTTTTAAGTTATTAAATTTTTAACACACTATTTGTATAGTGACATATGATGTACCATCTCGTGTGCCAGTCACACTGAAAAATCTCTCGCCGTGGAGAAAATTTTTATTGTGATCGGAACACGAGTGTTACACTACGTGATTTTATGTAAGTAGTGGGAAATTTTATTTTTTAAGTTATTAAATTTTTAACACATATTTTATAATTTGTATTGTAACACGTTATGTACCATCTTATATACCGATCACAATAAAAAATCTAACTTAGTCGTGGGAAAGTAGGTATAAAAGCAAATGCAGTGGCAGTGGAGGCGGGAAATAGTTAATAGAGCGCGCTTTATACGTGGAGGTAGATCTCTGTACGTAGAGATTGCATATGCAAAACCATACAAAGTGAAAGGCCGTCAGGCAGGGTAAGATTCGTTTCGTTTTTAAACTCAAAGCGTCCAAAAGTAAAAAGAAAGTTAAAAAATTAAGAGAAAGACAGAGAGGAGAGAAGGCAACGCTGTGCGAAATTGCGAACGAATGGAATTGCGTTTTAAAATAAGGAAAATTAATGAAAAAGAATCGAAATTTTTTGAGTTTTAACAAAAATGATAAAAAGAAGTTGTAAGTGAATAATATTATGATTGATTTTTTAAAGTAAAAATATGATTTTTCGTTAAAATAATCGGAATTTTTGAAAATTACAAGCCGAGAAAAGGAAAAGAAATTGAACATGGGAATGGGGATGACGCTTCTCGTATTTTGGGAGAATTGGGATTCGGATTGGGTTTATAAACTTGGCCTCCTTTTTCTCCTTCTCTCTCAGACTCCTCCTGTATTTGGTCTCTGCCTCTCTCTCTTCCAAAGCCAAAGCCAAAACCAAAACCAAAACCCTTGTCCTTTCTGCTTTCAACCGAAATTCAGAAGCATCGGCGGTGGTTAATTTCACAGGATCGCAGTTTGCATGGAAGATCATATTTTTTGAGATGATTCGTTGTTTTATCTCCGCTTCTCTCGGTGGTGCCGGTGCGTCTTCTCTTCTACTGCTAAATTACTAATCACTCTCTTTTAACTTAATCCGTCTTTATTACTATATTATATGTATTACTAGTAAAACCAGTCAAATAAGTCAGTCCGTCCTCGTCTTTCATGGCGGCCTCTGTTTCTCTTGGTCGTCTCGAGTATACGTCCGTTGTGCACTCGGATTGCTCTTGCTCTTAAGATCAGTGCTTTGATCATCATTTTTCGTGTTTTCTCAACTCATTCATGTGAATATTGTTTTCAGGCCAGGCTACTGATTCTTCAGGCAGTCATGAATTATATGTGTTTCATGACTTGCTGCGACGGAGGCCCATGATCCTCGCACAACTCCCATGCGCTTAAGTTTCTCTTTGGAGAGAGTGGTAACTCGGATGTTTGAATTCTGGCTGCCTTTGGTAGCTTCTACAGACCACTTGTGTTCTTAATTGAAGCAGAAATTAAGGGCACTTATTAGTTATACTCACAGCGCTGGGAAATTGGAAATTTGGAAGTACAGCTCTATCAATTGATGGGCTGATCTGATCCGATTCCCTCGACATCCCTTCCCATTCTGTTTGGGGATCAACCCTGTGAAATTTAGAAATGGGATTGCCTCAGGTGCCCTCAACTGGAACTTCTGAGGAGGTGCGAGCTGCTTGTCTGGGGTCCTTTTTACAAAGCCCGCCTCGATTTTCAAGTATGAGCACATGTGATATGGATGGGATGCTTGGTGGAAGTGCAAGCCAAGTGGGGGGGAATCCATTATGCTCCTCTTTAGGAGATTACCAGACAAGGACCTCCCTAGAATTTTCAAAGCTCCCTGATCATTCACTTGGATTTAGAGGGACCGCGCGAGTCACTAACAATGTTCATGGTTTGTCAATTGTTTCTGTTGATAAAGCTGGTCAGATCACCCCAAGAAATGGACAGAATGTTCTGACCCCTGCTTCTAGGATTGTAGGCTTTGAATCAAGCGGAACAAGTTCTCTAAATGATGATGACTCCAAGCGTGTTTCATGTGGGCACGTTCACTCCGCTTCTGCAGTTAATGTCACGACTAATGAAATTGTGACCAGTGGGTCTCGAGTCAGGAAGCGATTGTTGTCCTCATTGAATACTATGCTTTTTCCGCACCAGTTTGAAGGTGATCGTTTAAACATTGGTTGCACAACTTCTGGAGCAAATTATCCTGCTGTGAGTGATAATTTTAGTACGTCTGTCGCACATGATTATAAGAAAGCAAATGTTGGGAGCAAACGTAGTTTTACCATGCCAACTTGGTCTCTATCTAGTTGCTTTGAGCAGAAGAGCATGGCACATGATAGTGGTATTATGGAATCCATTTTTTTCACGAATGGCCCTTTGCTGGAAAACAAGGATATCGGACCTCGAAATAGTTATCAATCTGCACCTAGACGTGATGAGTTGAGAAAGCGGAGTAATGCAAAAATCCAAAGTGGGGCAATATCCACATCTCCAAAGGAAGTGATCTCACCTTTGCATCCTTTGTCACCTCTTGGCCCCAGGTTGTCTGAAAGATTGAAAATTGCAGGGGGCTGCAGGACTACTGACAAAGAGTTGGAGGATTGTCATTCAACCTTAAGGAACGTGAAACAAACACTTGACAAGTCTGATGCAGACATTCTCTTTTCCCCTGAACTAGGGGAGTTTAAGATTGCTAGTAAATTATTGGAAGATGTTGATGTTTTTCACAGGGAATTCCTTCCATCTTCTCTAGAGAATAGTACTGGCATAAGTTATTCTTTGTCACACGGGTCAGCTCCCAACTCCCAATGCATGAGTGGGCTTTCTGTCGGGAGATCCTTGGTTGGTTCATTCGAAGAATCTCTACTGTCTGGTCGGTTCATATCAGGGAAACCCAGTCAGGTTAGTGTCTATGTTTCTGCTGTGTAGTAAATCCTGTACATTATTCATTGTTGCTATGTTATAACTGCTGGAGTACTTTAATATGTAGAGAATCAATGGTTTTCTGGCTGTGCTAAGCATCACTGGGGGAAACTTTTCTCCGCAATCACAGAAGCTTCCTTTTTCAGTAACTAGTGTAGAAGGTGATTGCTATTTATTGTATTGCGCATCCATACATCTTTCGAGAAATTCAGCATTGAATAGGAGTGGAGTACAAAAGATTAAACGAGGCCTCAGCAATGATGGTTCACCGATTGTCACAAGCCGCCTGCGCATTCCTGTGAAGGGCCGTATACAATTGGTATTTGTTGTCTGTTCCTCCTGTTATAAGCATCCATTTTATTATCTATTGCCAGAGATATTGAAGGGTCAAGTTTTTCATTACCAGAGTACTTGTTTGACTGAATTACTTGTTGAAATCGTCATTTTATGGAGCATGTTACATTGCGATGGGTTATCATTATTAATCATACTAAATTAAGCTCTCCATACTTTGATTTATGCAGGTTCTAAGCAATCCAGAGAAGACACCTATTCATACCTTTCTTTGTAACTACGATTTAAGCGACATGCCAGCTGGTAGCAAAGTAAGTTGAGTGTTCGTATCTTGTTGCTACTGTACTATGTGATGCTTACGAACTTTGTATTAAATATAATTTGTTGAAAATTTATCTATCATTATAAATTTGAAATATAGCGGAGTTGTAATCCCGCATCCAAGGAGAATGTATGCTTACATAGCAACTCATACAGCTTTCTAAATTGTATACCGTGCATGCATTGAATTAGATCTCTACCTATAATTTAACTTCAACTTGTGAATTATATTGCCTTTAAGCTGCATTGATGGATTTTGAAACGATTTTGTAGTTATAAATTCAATGTGTATGAAAAACAATAAAGGACTATAGAATTATGTTGTGTGGTTTATGATATTCCATGTTTCTGAGGCTAATTTAATTTTTTTTTTTTTGTTCTGTTCATTTCTTATCTGTTCAAATCAAAGTAGACTTTCTTACGCCAGAAGGTCACCTTAGCATGCAGCCCAAATTCTTCCCAGTCGGGACATGGGAAGACTGATCTGAACTCAAAAGTCATAGAGAAGAAGGAAGTAGAGAATACAGCCGGAGTAGACATTGTACATACAACAAGATCTGTGGATCAGAAAACTGAAATTAGAAGTGAAGACTCTAATTTTGTGGATTCAATAGATGAGGGGGATATCTCCAACTTATACCCTAAACTGGGAAGGGGATCCAATGCTTCGTTCCTTGTTGAGAAGAGCCTCAACAATGGGGAGTACCGAAGCAGCAATGGAAAGGAGCGCGAGTTTGCTGATGCATGCTATGGAACCGACAGGAAGCACGGACATGTTTGTTCAAGGTTCAATCAAAACAGTAATGGTGCTCTCCGCTATGCTCTCCATCTCCGTTTCACATGCCCTTTTCCCAAAAAAAGTTCTAGGACAGTCCAGAGGTGCAAATCAGATCCCCTATCTACACCACAGAGAACAGGCTTAGACATGGATGGGGAGCGCAGATTCTACCTGTACAATGACTTGAGGGTCGTGTTCCCTCAACGCCACACAGACGCTGATGAGGGAGAGGTAATGTGCATATACTTATACGCATCAAACGCTCACATATCAAAACAAAAGTGATCTTGATGAATGGGATATTTCTGCATTGCTGCGCAAATATGAATGCCCATAAATTTGCCTTCGTCTTCGCGTTGTGCTATATCTTGTGCAAGCTTAGCTGATTATGCTCTATTTTTTCTTTGGTTCTTTTAATCGCAGTTGAACGTGGAATACCATTTCCCGGAGGATCCGAAATACTTCGACATCAACTGAAGCGTCATTTTCCCTTGTTTTTGTTTATTGTACTCCACTGTGTACATATTCTCATATATATATATATAGCTTTCTTTTTTTTTTTTTTTTGGATAAACTGGAATCGATTAAACCAGGGCACAGAAGCCACAAGAACAACAGAAGCCTACCCAGAGGCAAACAGCAGAGACAACCTGGTAATGCAAGGGGATGAAATACCCAGACGCATCAAACAACAACCCGCGTCCCCCCTCCCATTACCAAGCAAACTCAAGGAGGACAAGGGAGTCCATCATTACATAAAACATGAACCAAAGAAGATGGAGGCCTATTGACCCAAGTAAAATCACACATCTCCCTATTTCTACGCGACGCCAAACAATCCGCCGCCAAATTGGCTGATCTTGGAATCCAAGACCAGCGACAGTCTTGAAAGGAGTTTCCAATCAGCTTACATTTCGTCAACACCGGAAAAAGCCTCCCACCTGCCATTTGAAGTCTTACCCATAAGGTAAGAAATAGAATCCTGGGAATCAGATTCGATCACAATCAAATTAAATCCCATAGCTACACCCAACTCACAGCCGTGGCGGATCGCAATGGCCTCAGCCACTGCCGCAGAATGCGCAGCAAAGCAACCTCTCCTAGCCGCGATAAAGGTTCCGGCCGAGTCCCGAACCACAACCCCCGAGAAGCCCGAGTTTGTACCCCTGCTCCCAACTTGCATCGACATTGATCTTAACGAACGGAGGAGGTGGGAGACACCACCGGGTTGGCACTTGAGCAGCTGGGTTGGGCATGGAAGGTCTAATCACCTTGTTTCTGGAAGCTTCACTGAACGCACTAACAGAGGTGTCAATGGCAGCAAGCACATTCCTGGGGTTAATAGATCCATTTTGAAAAAGGAAATTGCATCTACTCTTCCAAATGTGCCAACACGTAAAAGCCACATAAGATAACACCCGATCCATCTCAGCCTTCGAATTCAAAGTGGTATTAGTGATGTTGACAAGCCAATTCACCCAAGAAGAAATAGAACTACGAATAATTCTGTGACTCAACATCCCACCGAACCAAATCACCTCAACCCACGGGCAGAGCAAAAATAGATGTTCAATGGTCTCCTCGTGGATTTGGCAAATAGGACACAGAGGAGATGGCGCCACCAACCTCCTTCTTTTGGTTGGTTGGTTGGTGATGGTGACTGATATTTTGTAACACGGAAATTAGTTTGGGCCGGGCCATTGCGCTTTGTTATTTTTGGCGGGAAACTCCCGATGTCGTGTTTGAATTTGTGGGGCCCATCAGCCGCACATACGCACAACAATGGAAAAAAAAATGTTAATTGACGCAAAAGTGACGAGGGGATGGAAAAAAGAGGGTCTCTCTATGCAAATTACAAAAAGACAATCCAAATTAAAATTCATGAACAATTAAGAAACTCATTTGCTTAATTTTATTTTATTAAGTTGTCAAATATTTTAAATATTTAGATCTAAATTAATAAAATTTTGTGATTAATATGCATTTGAATCTTCACATGAGAACCTTAGAAAAGCAGGAGTCGGAAGTGTATTGTTAAAAATATTTTTTATTTTGGTTAAGAGATTGATGTGGCAGGCTCGAGGTGAGGTGAGTCAATTAGATTGATGTATCATGGTTAATCAAGGTTAAATAAATAAAATCAAAGGGGGCCAGCCATTGGCGGCATGACACCTGGAATGAAAGGGAATAAGCCAACCTTGTTACCTTACAAGCGGCAGCTGTATCCGACAAGTGACGCCATGCACTAAAGGAAACGTTGTTATTGTAAGTTGCTAATTGAAATTTACTTAAAACAATTGGAATCAAGTAGGAAGGAAGGAAGAGAGCAATGCCATTCTAGGGTTTTCTTGCTCGCCACGCAACTACATAATTAACATATCAAATTACCCATTAGATTTTGTCTGGATCTTTTTTGTGTGGATCATGAGGATTTGTGAATTGTATTCGTTCATCGTATATCGTGTGGTCATTTTTTGTCAGATACTATTTGTGTTTAATTTTAAATAAAAATATTTAAAATGATTTCTAACTGCACGATGTACGATGAATTGACACAATTCACGAATCTCCGAGATCCTCACAAAGAGGATCCAGATTCATCAAATTATAGAGTGAAAGAGTGGAGGAGTCAGTCAGTGTTTAGTCAGCAGGCATTAGGCATTAGGCATAGGCATTTCTATTGTATAACGTCGCATGCACACAACACAAATGAATATATGAGAGCGTATCAGTCCTCCTCTCATCCATCTTCAGTGAACACGGAGAAAGTGACGGTAAGAGAGAGAGGAATATTTGCAGATCATGAAGGAAGAGGGCAGAGAGAGAGAGAGAGAGAATATGCAGAGACAAAACAGTTATATTAGGGGCTCGTCCTTTCCAGGATCCCCATCCATTTAATTTTCACCTTAATTCCTATTCTGCCCCTCTCTCTTTCTTTCATTTTTTTTCACCTCTGTTATTGGGGTAGAAGAATCAAGAGTGTGTTGTTTTAACTTTTAAGGCCTCGTTTGGCAGCTCGGACTGTACTGACTATTTCTGTCGGATAGGATAAATAGCCACCGAACAGTACTGACTAAATTAGTCGAGCGTTTGGTGCAGTATCGGATTAATGATCGTATTATTTATACTGTGTTTGGTATTATACCGGATAAGATGAATAAAACTTAAAATTGGTATTATAGCAGATAAGAGGAATAAAACTTAAAAAAAAAGTGAAATCATCTTTTTTTTTTTTTTCGCAGATCTCTCCGCACCCATCAAACTCCCTCACTCTCTCTTCCTTCTTCTTCCCCGACTGCAGAAGCATCCCAAATAATTCTTCCCCGCTTCTCTCCGCGGCACCCCCAAACTCCCTCCCTCTCTCTCCCTTCTTATTCTTCTTCCCCGGCGACGACAACTCTATTTTGTCGCTTCGACTCCGTCTTCCTCTGCGTCAACTGCGACTCTTATCACCCTGCGTCTAGCCCCTGCGAGGTCTGCGAGCAAGCTCCAGGATCGAGAGACCGAGGTGAGCAGGGAGGATGGTGAGGCTGCTCTCGAACCTAAAGGCTATGGAGAATCCGGATCTGAACTCAGGTCGTAGAAATGGATCCATATCTGGATCTAGACTACCAGCATGTGGATCCGATGCTTGAAGAAGTTCAGGAGCAGGACATCTGCAGCACGGACGCAGTCAGTTTGGTGTGGTGGTCATGAAGATGGAGGGGATATCGCCCCGACTAATTATCCCGAGCTTTTGTGGTGTTTTAATAGTACGGTGTCAACCGTATAAAATTTGATAGACCGGATAATTAAGCGGGTGCTTATTTAGTACGATAGTGCACCAAACAACTGCTCCCGTATTATTTATCATATCCGATGCTTTATACAGCGTGCCAAACGATGATTGCATTTGGGAATATTATATGGCTTCCATTTACTTTGACTTTAAAATCTTAATTTTAAAAGAATAGGAAATGTTAAGGAAACTTTCTTAAAAGTTGGACTTTTCGTCACCTTTTTTTTTTCTTTCCCAAATCATGTATCGACATTATAAAATAATGTGCCAAAAATATGAGTTGGTGGGAAGTTCATGAAATATCTCACTTTAAAATAATCTTCTTAGCATTTCTCTGAAAAGAAAATCAACCTCATTAATTAGTAACTAAATAATTATTAAATCAGTGGTAATAATATGATTTGATAGGATATGATACAGGCTAGTCAGCCACGCTTAACAACTTCAACCAATGTCTCCAACTCGTCACTTTCTGTGCATACCATGCGAATGAGGGATTTTTTAGTGTGATCGATATACAAAGTGGTACACCACGTATCATTATACAAATGGTGAGATATATGTGCTAAAAAGTTAATAACTTAAAAAATAAAACTTCCTACTACTCCTATTAAAATATGTAATGTACCACTTATGTTTCCATCACAACTAAAAATTTCTCTATGCAAAGGGCAACCTTGGTAAACAGAAACGCACCTACGCATTCTTCAAGTCCCAATTTTATCCTTTCTTCCAACACACACAAACCCAGCTACCAACTAAATTTCCATATTTATCCTTTGATTTTTCTTCTTGTTTTTAATTATATCTATGTTTAATTGTTGTGCAATGGGGAGTGGGGGTAGTCGTGTCATTTGGCGGCACCCAATCGTATCTTTCCGTCCCTCCTCCCGCCCCCAACTGCAACAGTTTTTGTAATCGCTACAGACAAATATGAAATCTGTACTGACCCCGTTGTCTCCATTTATTCCTCCACTCGACTCCACTCCTGTCATCCTCCTCTGTACCACCCTTTATAACACCTACATCCCTCCCTCCCTCCCTCCCCATAAACCCCTCTTCTCCTTCTCTCTCTTCTTTCTCACACTAAAACCCACCTGCAGTCTACTGAGGGAGATAAGCTTTCTCTGTGCTCTCTGATACTGCAAGTATTGGTGTTTCAATGGAGGCAGAGGATGAGATGTATCATGACTTCCTAACTCAGACGAACACACCTCCCCCTCCACCTCCTTATCCTCATCATCCCAACTCTTCTCTTTCTTCTTCTCCCTCCCCCTTCCTTTTCAATAACCTCCTCTCTTCCTCTTCTTCCCCCGGACTTCCCCTGCCCCCCACTAAAACGCCTTCGTCCCACCAAATTCCTACCCATCCTCAGCCCCATACCACCCCCCACGCTCGCCGAGCTTCTTCTTCCACCGCCGCTGCAAATCGCATCTTCCAATGCCATTACTGCTCCCGCAAATTCTACACCTCCCAAGCCCTCGGCGGCCACCAAAACGCCCACAAGCGGGAGAGAGCCGCCGCTCGCAGGTCTCTTATTGGCGCCGGCGGAGGTGGCGGCTGCTCCTCCGTTCCCACCCACTCTCCTCACCACCCTCATCATGTCCCTGCTCTCAACGTCTCACCTCCCCCTTCTCAATATCAGATCATGCCCATCAACGCGCCACGTCAGCATCATGATACTGATGACCATGCTCAACAATATTCAACTGGGCCTCACCAATACCATCAGCTCCGACAGAGCCACCACCACCCGCAGCCAGAGGCAGCCGTACACGACAGCAGCAGCTGCTTTTTAATGGAGATGGAGCACATCATGCAGCAGGACAACCAGCCACCTTACTATTGGGCGGTGGACCTTTCCAACATCAACACTACTAACCACCACCACCACCACCACCCCCACATCCCTGCCGCCGCCTCCACTTGCTCTCTTCCCCAGATGATTGACGGCCCCACCACCTCCGAGCTGCCTCAGCCCCTCTTCTCACGTGCACCCCCTTCTTCCCACACCCATCAATATTATCATCGCCATCCTCAGGATGCCACTGCCGCTCATCCTCCTCGTGACAACCCCACTCTTCATAGCCTTGACCTCTCCCTCCGCCTTTAATCATCATTCCTAATTTACACCGTTCCTATCAGTGCTCTCTCCTAAAATCTGTCAGCCCAGTTTTCTTCTTTTTCCAGAGAAAAAAAAAACTTAATTGCTCTTAGAAATAGATGGTTCAAGTCTTCAAGATATGGAAGGAAAGCGAAAAGTGGAAAAGTGCTTGTGGGTCTGCTTTTTTGTAGGTTTTTTTTCTTATTTGGTTTTGCAAATTAGTTACAGAAAGTGAGAAATGTTGGGCTTCAAAGTTGATATGTAATGAGTTTGACATCTTGTTACATGAATCAATCAATTTTTCAAGCTCTCTCTCTCTCTCTCTCTCTCTCTCTCTCTCTCTCTCTCTCTCTCTCTCTTTATTAGATGATGATGATGATGATGATCGTGCATGTCAAAATTAAGTGTCATCCCAAAAACCAAAATGTGTTGTGAAAACAGGGATGAAATGAATCGATGTAGTTTTTGGCACCAATCGAGATGGCATCGGACCATCGATGATTTAAATTTCTATGTTACGAATCTACCCTTCGGAATTCTGGAAATATGCCCTGCAATATGCGGCGCGCGCGCGATCGATCACGATGTTATACTCGTCGATCAGTGGCCACCTCAGCTGCTTTTGAGGAGGAGAAAACCTCCCACTTACATTTTAATTTTTATGCAACAGCTGGCTGATTTGGTTACGGAGGAATAATGGTATTGCTTGCAGTTGCAGCCGATTGGAAATATTATTATTCCTCTTGTTTTTGGTCCGGCTTGAAATTTCATTTCAACAATGCTCAAGTTTCCAACGTGTTCATAGGATCGTAGAAATAAAATCAATCGTCGAATCTTAGATGAGATATTGATAAAGAGGTCGACATTTTAAATTATTCTAATTTATAAAGAAAATTTCGAACCCTGGCAGCAACTATGTGACAGATTGAAAAATGACGGCACGTGAATGGGTGTGTTTTGGGCACAAGGGTCGAGAGTCATATGCCAGATTTGATATGTGACTGATTTATCGTATAAACAATGGATGTGTTTTCGCGGGACTGATAGAGAGTGATAGATAAAGCAGATACTACTAAGATAGAGACTGATAGATACAGCAGATACTACTAAAAATGAACCTCTAAAAGGGACAGAAATTTGTTACTTAGTACTAAAGTTTAACAGTACTTTTTTTTCACGTTTAAGTGATGAGAAAATTTTCATTGTGATCGGAAATTTAATTTTTTAAGTTTTAACTTTCTGGTGGGATTATAGGATCAGCATGTGCTGCTCCTCCCCTGGACATGAATGGGTGGTAGATTGCTCCTTAGTTCCTGCAACAATGTCCTTTTCACCCTTATGGCTATACCCATAGTTTAATGCTTGAATATGAAATTCTTGATTGGTTCTTTCAATGTACAATTCAGATGATTCCAACAATATAGATATTTTGTCCTCCACCGAAAGCTCTTGTAGCACATCAGGGTGCTCAAAATACTGTTGATTACATTCCCACATAAAATGAAGATGTTTTTTCAAACCTGGAGTGTAGAATTCTGAATAGGGATTGTTCCAACACCTTTTTGAGTTGTTTCACATATTGATATGTTTTTGTACAAACTTAGGAAAATATTCCCTTTCGGGGCATTGCAAAATGTCATGGGTCTTCAAACAGCAAAGAGCACAAATTGTAGGTTTAAATCCATAAAAACCTTTTTATGCTAAAGAAACCCATAAAGGCAAATCTCCAGCCGGTGGTAGCTCCATCATGGAATTGCTCTCAAGATCAACAAACTATAACCTGCGAAACAAATAAAAAATAAAATCAACAAATAAATAAAAGATATATACAAAAATAATTAACTAAGAATAAGATAAACACAAATTATTTGAAACAATCCTCGGCAACGGTGCCAATTTCTTGATAGGATAGGGATAAAAATACTTGCAAGAGTATAAGGTTGTCGTAGTATAGCAGTTCAAGTAAGGTCGTTTTCCACAATGATTGAATGAATAATTTGTATTTAAACTAATTCTTAATTAATTACTTGAAACAAAGTTTGGAAAATATTGATTTTGGAATTTTATATAATAAAAACATTTTAAAATAAAAACAATTAAATAAATCAACTAGAAACCAATTTAAAGAAAATCAGTTTGTAAAAGCCCTAGGGTTCAGCCGTCACCTTAGCAATTCTACATAGTTCTTCCAATTACTTATGAATTATTCATGCATATTTTGAAGGTTAGGTTTTCCTAATATATATCCTACTTGGAACCTCCAACATAAAACGTATATCTAATATCCAACCCGTCCGGGTGTTCGTATCAAATATGAACATGAAAGACTCATTAAGTTTTATGAAAATCCTTTGATAAACCATGCAACCCTTAAAAGGCGTTCATCTTAAGTGAAATTACAATTATTAACGACAAGAAACCAGCGTCAATTTTAAGGAACATTCCAACCAAAATTACCTCAAATTAATTTTCTAAATATCCTAATGGTCGCGAATCACTAAGACACGTAGATAGTTTAAAAAGGTGATTAATAATTCAAAACATGCATGCAAAATATCATAAGTAAATTGAAAAAAAACTACATATTCTTGCTAAGGCTCAAGGCTTCGCCCTAGCAAAAAAAAAAAGGTATGAACAATCATAAAACAAAATATTATTATAAAAATGGATAGAAAACACCTTGGAAATAAACTTGAATCGTCAATCCCAAATAGTGCGTCTCCTTCTCTCTTTTTTTCTAAACCCTATTGGCTAAATATCTTTACTTATATTACTACAAAATAAAACCCTAAAAGGTCGTAGAATAAAACTAGGAAACATAATAAAATAATAAAACAAAAAATAAAAGATTTCCTATTTGAACTAAAATTCGGACTTCTCAGAAATCAGACTTTTGACTGACCAAATCAAGTCCGATTTGGTTCCAAAAGGTCTCTTTTGAAAGCTGGAGACGTCTCTTACAAATCCTTAGAAGGAATGTTTCTCAAAATATGACATCTTGACCTCCAAAATATACAAAACGTCCAGATACGTCAATCTGGAAAACCTGCGCGTTGGGCCTTTATTTCATCGCCACGATCAAACAGCTAAGTAGCAAAATCTGAAACTTTGATACAATCATCTTGAAAGACTCACGAACATCCTCCAATTGGAATCACTCCAAAATTTGTCCGTTTGATTACTTTATGCTCAATACGAAATCAAATGTCCTATATTGCAAATACAATTCAAAGTATCAAAATTCACCAAATGTCATAGATTAGGGTAAAATATATAATATAATATTGACTCCTCATATCCCACCATTTGTATAGTGACACATGGTGTACCACCATGTTCCGGTCACACTGAAAAATCTCTCGTAAGTGAGGGGTCTTAGGTTCAATTCTCGCTAAAGGTAATTTGAACCACATTATTGCTATACATCATTGTGTGACAAAGCCCACCCCTCCCCATGAGTGTAAATAACATCGTATGTTTAAAAATATATATATATCTCTTAGTGTAGATAATATCGTATGTTTAAAAAAAAAATTGTGTGCAGAAACACGACCTAACACACTTAGTGTCATAATGCAATTGGTTAAAGTTTTTGTCTTTCAAGATTTTAACAAAACATATATAATATTTGTCATGTTCTCGGCACATTAAAAGATCTCCCCCGAAAAAAAAGATAGCGAATTTCAAAGAATTCAACTATATTATTATAAATAGGCATGAATATTACCCCTGTTTTACAAATAAACCGGATACAAGTTTGAATCAAATTTGGCCTGCATATTGTGACGTGAGGTTTGAGTACCAACTAGCAACCGATGGAGAACAAGGAAGATCATTGACGAATTTCTTCGTCGGTCAGATATCGAATGTCGGAATTTCAGATGTGAGGCCAGACAAGGCCTGGTATTGTCCTAGACAATAACGTTCTATACGGATCCTTCTCTCTTTTCTCCCTCAAATAAGCAAGGCAATTCTCAACTTCCGACTTCACTTGTAAATACAGTTCATGGGCTTTCTCCCTGTCTCGTAATTCCTGCTTCCTCCCTTCACATGGTTCCCAATAACATACAAATAAAGTCAAACAGGTTGCACTTCTGATGAATTGATCATACGTAAACACATAAATAAGTATGCATCTAGAACCGCAGAATCGAAACCCACAATTTACCTTCTGTTTCAATTGGTTTTCCAAAATAATAATAGAACCTGCCAGGAATTTTCGGTATGATTCCTGGTAGGTGTACATCCTGGTTTCCTACCTCCCCACCAACGCCCTTTCTGATATCACAAGATCACATTGATATTCAACGATAAAGTTAATCTTTGGAAACAAGGATGACGAGGAAATGTATGATCACACGAAGACACGAAGATGGATGGTTCTATGAGAACATCTCAGATCAATTACCTCACTTTCGCAACCTCATCTGTTAACTCCTGTATAAAGTCCTTAAGCGGAGGAATTCTCATTTGGTCGTCATAATCCAAAAATAGCTGTTACAAAGATGTCAATAATTATTCTGAGAATGAGTGGTGTGAATAACCAAAGCTCAGTAAATTTGTGCTTTTATTTAGCAAGGAAAGATAAATTAGATCATAGTAAATGTAAAATAAGGAGTGCAGCCTTACTTCACCAATATCATCTTCTCCAACGGCGCCAAAAGGTACAATTTTGGCTCCAAATCTAGCTGCCATTCTCACAAACTCCGACTGTTCTGGCCAGAATAACTTATATTCCTCCCCCTGGATACATTCCAAGTTACGTTTAGTGGAACTGATCCACTAAGATATTTGGATTCTAGGTTTATCTAGTCTTCTCAGACAAAAATAATAACAATAATAAAGTGACTGTTACCTTCCGGTGAAGAGCCTCACGCACTCCACCTGGATAGAGTAGGACGTGAGACTTTGTAGAGAGAAGTTTGTAAAAGTTTGCACCAGAGACAGGAACTGCACCCATAAGTCTGAATGTGTCGAATGCTGATAGATCAGGAAACTTTCCTTCTCTCAATTTTATAAACATCATCGGATGTGCTATTCCTCGCATTAGGATGTTTCTTTCCTCCATCATCTGAGTTACCATGGGAGCCAATTCAAACCCCAGTAACATGTGATAACCAACAAACAATACAGGACCCTCAGAAGGAATCCCGGCAAGGCCCCTCACAATCTTCCCATCTGGTAAAGTTGAGAACATCACTGGGCTAGTGACCGTGGTTAACAATCTACGCATAATGCACAGTGATCAGACATTAGTATAAAAAATAAAAAAAAGTTAAGGGTTGCTTGCAGAAGGGGAGGGGCGTTGGTTAGAAACATTGAAGCAAGCTTATGCATAATTTCCATCAGCTCTCTTGTGTGTGGTTCAATATAACATGACACATAAATAAAGCTACCGTCTAGGATCAAACCATTAAGCATAAACAGAGACATAATGTAGGGGGCTTCATCGACAGCTAGGATAGCAGAAACTACAACTGCAATTGTAAATTCCATGAAAATATCACCCACCTGTTTGATTCAATTATATTTTTGACTTCTGAAGGTGTTGGCGGTATGTAATCAGTAACAAAGTCATGGGTACTGGAACGACGATAGACACCAGTTGCCTTGATGACAGTTACCAAATCAAAAGGATCTTCCTGCCATGGATTGCGAGAACAATATACATATCAGAGTAAAAACTTACAAACTCAAAAAAATTTGGTTATAAAAATGACAGCATAGCATTGGAATATTAGAAATTGCAGACAGTAGCAAATTCAACAAAAGTTGATTCATTACTCTAATTAAATGACCCTAAGAATCTAACTCTACTATTTAACTTTTTTCCTTGGAGATGTTGGGTTTGGAAAAGTAGCAGAGAGAATTCACTTATTTATCAGGGCTTATACTATCACCAATAAGAATGTACACAAGCACACAGAGAAAACAGCGTACCAAGAAGAGGAAATGGCCGCTGTTAGCAAACATACGAATCTCACATTTTGCAAGGGTGTGTTTCAGTCTTTCTCCTTCCGCTTGACTAGGTAACAACTGATCCTGTCCACTAATAGACAAATAAAAGATAAGTTAGCCTCATCATTCTAGAAAGATGACAATCGAAAGCAGTAAAGTGCTCTGATGCATGACTATACTTGACCAGTAGATCACAACTATTCAAATAAATTTCCGTAAACTCAAATTACACCTTATTTTAAATGTTTACTTGCAAACTCTTCGGGTCTGTTAATCATCCATAGTAGCGTTGAAATACAAATACATCAAGTCGAGTCCTCCAACGTTTGTTTCAGAATAGTTTTCTTGAATTTGTTTCTTTTTTAATTGGGAGAAGAGGGGTGGGTGGGTGGGTTTAAATTATCAATTGTAAGTGACTGCTTTCTTAGTCACTATCAAACGAATAAGCAGAAATAAATAAATAGACCTGGAAAGTATCAGCGTTTGAGCTTTTACAGCGTGGAGACGTGAATTGGCATATGGAGATGCTGATCTAATCATTTGTAGCTTCCACAGAAGTGTTTCTCTGGGTAATATCAGCAAGAACCTGTGGCTTCAACCATTAATTCTTTCCGCTAGATTCAACTACAATTCATGAGATATAAGTACGCAGAATACACACAAAAGATCAGAAGAGACCAATCTCTTTACCGACTTCAAGAGTATTGATTATATGATAACTTATAATGCTACATAAGAGATCCCTGAAAGCAACACGTCTAAAGCATCATAAGTATCCATCTATGGAATGAGGATTGAACAGATTCTGAATAAGTGTATAGAGTGATCCGACTTGTGGGCGAAGGTAATGTTAGTTTGTTACATAGTTGTGTCTTACAGAAAGGTAAGATGCTGATGCAAGAAGATCGCGTGATAGCTTCTCAACTGTCTGTGGCAGAGGAAGTCCAAGTCCCGTCTCCAAGTTACCCATCAGAAAACCTAAATACATGAAAAAGAGTTGCAGGTTAATGAATAAAATTCTTTGTAGCAAGCACATGAACTATGAGCCAACAATTCATCATAATTTGGAGCAACAAACATAATAAAAGGTGGAATAAAGAAAGCAGACCTGTCATTGAGCTCAGTATGTGAGGAAGGCTGAGAGGAAATGAGTCAGGAATGACCTGCAGTAAAGGTATTAATGGTTGAAGCTGGGACTTGCTGAAGGACGTAGCTGCACATGGATACCAGGTAGGAGCTAACCCGAGTGAGCAAAAGTATCAATTGAATAACTTCTGTCTTAGAGCTAAATTATTTGGCTTTTATATAAATGCTAAGCATTTTGCCTTTATCTGAGGAATTGGTGAAAATTCAATGGACCTAATACATTTAATACATGACTTTTCATATCTCAGCATGCTTATTTAGTACTTATTTATCCGGGAATCTATAAACTTTGAATCAAAATGACTTAATAGGAAGCAGCGTCTTACCTGGATTAGCCAAAATTAGAACAAGGTCAATATCAGGGTTAAGGGCAGCCACAGAAAGCGCAAGGCATGCTCCAAGAGATTCTCCAACAAGATATATAGGCCTATTTGGTGCGAGACGATGCTGTGACCGAACTGTTCTTTCAACCAGCTTCACTAGGTCTGGCACACGGAAATTAATAAAACAACCAAATTACATATGAATTCATCTCTTGCATCCAACAAAATAGGAAAACAGAAACAAGGTGCACCGTTTTATCTTCTCCACATATGATTTTCACCACACTGTTACGAATACTATGAGGACCGGATGAAGCAAACATTTTGTGCAACAAGAGATCAACAAAGCTAAATGCATTTTAAAAATTAAAAAAAAAAAAAAAAAAAAAAAGAAGAAGAAGGAAGAACCTGTGAATGTTGTTCGATCCTTGGCAGGGATATGCAAGCACCAGACATCGAAAATCCTTCACATATAAAGTAAAAAAAAGCATATATGATATCAAATCAAGTAATTAAATTAGTTCTAGCAGGAGGAACTAACGTATCAATTCCGAAATGCACTCAAACAAATTTGTGATAGGACGTACTTTCCAAGTTTCTGATGATGCCTTATCAGCCCAAGTCCAGTGCCATCAATTCCTGCACGATTCATTCCAAAGAAAAAAAATCGAAATAAAGTCGAATTTTTTGAATAAAGGAAAAGATATGGCAGTAAAATTATAAGGTTGAGCAGTAATTAGACTCGTGCGATAATCATTGAGCTTTTTATGTTAGTGAGCGATCGCAAATCAGAATCATTTTTTCGTAATTGAAAGCTCACATTTGCAATGATGGTGATGATGGCATCATTTGCAGAGATCTAAGAAAAGGTAAAAGTCGGATAAAGTGGAAAAGCAAAGGGATTTTTATTACCAGGCAAAAAGAGAAGCAGAGGAGAATCGGCCAAGCGGGACCCGCCGCCCAAAGGAGAGAACCAGCGAGGCGGTCCACCGTCGGAGCTGATGAAATCCTTAGCTTGCTCGAAGTAATCCTTCAAGCTCAGGCCTTGCTCTTCCGCATCGAACCTGTGCTCCTCCTGACGAGCCTGCCTCTTGGTCTCTGCAGCTGACGTCGTCGTCGTCGTCGTATGAGCTTCCTTCTCAGACGACCTGCCGCTTCCGATGTTCGCTGCTGTCAGAATCGTCGGAGTGTGGTCTGTTGACGCAGCGGCTAGCCTCCGCGACGGAATCGAGATCGGATTGAACTTCGATCTTCCGGATGAGGATGATGACGACGACGTCAGTTCCTGACGGATAACGGATGGCAGGCGGGCGGGGAAAGGACAAACTCCGGCGGAGGCCATGTAATAATAGAGGCAGCTGGCGGGACGGCCGAATCGGCCGATGGCTCCTGCTGGCGGTATTTAGAGATTCGAACGCTTGTTAGTGAAAGTTATTTTTCCATTTGAGGAATGAAGTTCAAGCATTGAAATTAAATAGATGGATTGCTGGCCTTATATCGTATTCATCAAATAATACAAGTTGTTTTGTTGTTTTGTTTTTTTTTTTGGACAAGACAAGTTGTTTTGTTGTTTTTGTGTTTTGTTTTTGTCTTGTTTGCTTTTGGATTGCCGGAACACTTGATTGTCAGCAGCTCAAGTGGAAAAGTAGAACACTGCCTGCTCTACTAAACTATATTATTTGGATTTGACAAGGGCAATAAACAAAAGTGTTCCTACTACGTAACAACAGTGGAGGAGGAGGGCGATGGGCGGAGGAGACGCGGGGGGTCTAAAATTCCAGAGAGGCGGCTGTAGAGTTGTCTACGGTGGCATTGTCCTCCTTTCTCGCTTCTTTGTCATTGTCGTGCTCCCCCTGATACTTCGTGCTTCTGGCTGTGGCGGTCAGTGCAGAAGCCGAGAAGGGAAATGAAACGGAAGATAGAGAAGAATGGGGGAGCGAGAAACGAGGACACCGATAGAGGGGGAGAGAAATGGGGTAAGGGTTTAATAGTCTTTTTATATAATGATAACATGTTATTAATACTTTTAAGATTTTTACTAAAACGTAGGTGGGAAAATAGGATAATGGGATGGGATTATCAGCAATCATCCAAAATTTACTCTAATTTCGTAAATATCAGTTTTTATAAAAACTATCAAATGTATCCAAATTTTCAATGGAATAAACCTCAATACCCTCAAAGTTAATAACAAACCCTAAATCCAAACATTATTAGATAAAATTATGGCAATTCCACTTGTTTATGAATGAACCTGAATTCATTTCCAAGAAAATTTGATGTTTAGCAATACCATCCACACCTCATGGTCTAATCCCCACCTCCTAAATAATCATAAATGTTTTGTTTTGTTTACAATTTTGGTTTTGCAATAAAAAATGGAATTTGTTTGCTTACATGCAATTGTGATGGGCTTTTGACAGAAGGAAGAGCTCCTAATGATCTGCGAATATATGGCAACATGCCATCGTCGCTCCCAATTAGCCAAACCCTTTTCAACTTTGCGAATATATTTCCTTTTGATTTGTTAGGTTTCCAAGGCATACCGAAAGTATAAGAACAAAAATTAATTATTATTTTAATTTTTTTAATTGAACATTTCAAAACAATATGAAGGAGAAGGATAAGCAGAGGCCAGAAGGGGAGAAGGTTGCGGCAGTGGGTGGTTCGGTGACAACAATCTTGTTGTGAGTTTGAATGAAAATGAATTCCAACGATTTTAGGTGTTGTGTAATTTGATTTTAATTTGTAGGGCAATTTGGTCTATTTAAAGCATGTTTTATGCTATAATTGATAGTTTTTATAAAAACTAACATTTATGAAATTAGGGGTTAAATATTGATTATTTATGAGAAATTCCCTTCAACTAAACGTATAAAAGAATCTATCATTACTTATACATCTTCAATGGATAATACGATATATGTGCTCTAACATTTTTCACGTGACATTGTATTATTAGTTCGGAATAACATTGTCCCGCGTCTAGGAAAATCTCCTTCAATATCTTCATCTTGTTTGACAATTTTTTTATACAATGATACTGATAAAATGAGAATTTAATAAACCGACTGTATTTTATAAATTAGAAATAGATTGAGGAAACTAGTTTGTAACTTCAGAAAGAGCAGTGAAACATTTTGATGGACTGATTCAGCAATATAAATTAGAAAGTAGACGGAGGACTAGTGTGCTTGAATTGAAGAGGACCGGGTTGCCGGCTCGCTTGCTTGCCCCAAACAATAAAAAATGATTATGAAATTGTTTACTAACCCAAACAGCTTAATTAACTCCTTAAGCTAACACCAACTTAAACACAGGATCATCATTTTATATAATTCTTCTAGAAAGTCTACATACAGAATACAGTACAAGGGGTGATGATTAAACTACAATTCAACATGTGCCAATTAATCTTGGCCTTCATCTCTCTATTTTTTTTTTGTGTAACTCGAAACTTGGGACTGTTTCCTCGTAGAAAGAAAAAAACATGGAAACTTGGGACTGTTCACAAGACAGGACAGCTGGATGAGAAATTTTGTATTGTGACCGAAATACGAATGGTACATCACGTGTTTTTATATAAATGGTGAAATTTTTTATTTTTTAAGTTATTTACTTTTAACACACATATCTCATTATTTGTATAGTGACACGTGATGTATCATCCTGTATACCAATTACACTGAAAAATCTCTCTAGCTGGACCACCAACACCAATTGATCATGGCTGGTGTTATTCATAAATTTCTTTTGTGACCATTGCTCTCATTGTGACCAAATTAAAAATAGCTTGATAATTGTTTCGTTTTTAATTTTAAAAAAATTAAAAATTAAATTTGAAAACAAAATCGTTATCAATCGATTGCTTAATAGTGCCGGAACTTTCATAGTTTATTGTGTCACTCTCAGTCATGAGTCATGTGACTTGTCCCGATCTAGGTTGTTTTCTTTTTCTTTCATGATTTGATTGGTCAAGGGGGTTGGAGTTTTCCTCTATTTTAGTCAAGGGGAAAACTAATGAAAATGGTTTGAAAATTTTGAGTTTTAACGATAAGGACAAAATAAAGGGTAAAGTGAATAGTAACATGATTGATTTTTTAGTATAAAAATATGGTTTTTCGTTAAAGTGAACAGTACCAGAAGTTTTTCGTTAAAGTTCTCTAATTCTAACGTTATATTATGTTATGTTGTATCTACCTCTCAATTTTCCAATTTTTTTCTCTTAATAAAATACAAAATAAGGATACACGCAAGATAGTCATGGCCCGCCATTGCCAAGCAACTGTTATGGTCAGTTCTCTGAGTGGACCGGTCCATCATAATCGTTAGGCCTACATTTCAGGCCTTATTGGGCCTATGAGCCACACTCTCAAGTCTCGGTTGTTGTGGCTATTGGCTACTCCATATTCAATTATTCTTGGTGGAGCTTGTAAATTTCCCATTAAATTAACCAACCTGCAACCAGTACATCATAAAAACCCTTCCACTACGTGGACCCAACCCTACCAATCTCTTTCACACAAACCTAACCTGTATTACGTTGGTTCTACTCGCAACAAAGTAGCAACCGCATATTAGGTGATCATGCAAAAATAATATGACTTTAGTTGGCTATTTCTTAGAGGTATATGACACGTTTTTGCAGTGGCGTAGCTATAATTTTTAAATAATGGAGTCATAATATCAATCAAAAAGCTTTATTTGGTTATTTCGTCGAGCACCTAGTAGGCACTTGTCAATTCTTGCCAACATATGCCTAAATTTTATGTCAACATATGTCGACGACTACTATTACTTGTACATGCTTGTTGAGGGTGGATGCAGGATATTATGGAGTAATGTTGAAGACTTTCAAGGCTTTTCAACTATAACATTTCACACAAGAAGAGAGAAAATGAAGACAAATATAATAGAAGAAAATAGAAGAAGTAGGATGAGGATGTCGTAATTTAGTTTGTCTGAGCTGTTTGTAGAGGTCAAATACAATATACAAGTAAATATACATAGGGTTTTTAAAGTTATTGGGGTCAATAACAACCAATGACCCTATGCTGGCTCCGTCACTGCGTTTCTGTAATAGTTACTCTTTAGTTTCGGTTGAGTCCTATGTTTGGGTCTAAATGAAGAATACTTGGCTTGCATGACAATTCATTATATATCGTGGACCTCGTATTTTAGAATGACATCATTGCATATCTTTTAAGATTGTGAGATTAATGTAATTGCCTAGTCTTAGAAAATAAAACCAGATTGCTTTTGGTTTTGGGTTAAGTTGCTGTTTTTGCCATTTTATTGGAGCGTTAGGTTTCATATCAAATCAATTTATTTTAACTTATTGTGTAATTTGCCACTAATTCAACCATGAATAATTTAATTTACCTTACCCAGTCTTAGAAAACAAAATCATATTTGCTTTTGGGTTAAGTTATTTGACATTTTTTGCATTTTATTTGAGCTGTAGGTTTCATATCAATTCAATTTAGTTTATTTAACTACGTAATTTTCCCCTAACTAGAGAGTAGTGAAACACAATAACTTCCATCATATCATATCACGTGCACCTGATTAAGTTGTGTACATCCTTTTGTTTGTGAGGAAGATCATCTGAATCAAAGGTGTTCATCCAAGAGAATGAGCTAAAATATATTTTCATGAAATTGAACAATATTGCAGATCAGCTAGCCAAATAGAGTTATAGTTTGGACCTTGGTTCGTACATTTTTTAGCTCCCTCCCCAACAGCTTATGTAGTATTTAACGGATGGTCTTGCAAAAGTCCCTATGGATCGCTTTATTGTTATTAATGATATGGCTTAAGTTTGGTATGGATGTCTTCGCCCCCTCCGTTCACCAAAAAAAAGTAAGTACAGTGTGCTAGAAGAACTAAAATACAGAAGAGAAGTTTAAGTGTTTTAACGTGTCTCACTTGTTGAGTTTTGTAAAAGTCATTGACCCTCCACCAAAATCCAAAATCCAAAATCCGGGTCCCTTTTTTCTCAGAATTTGCCTTTAAATTTGGACAAAGGACCCATTTATAAAGGCATTTCCTTTGTCCGTCCCAGTTAGGTTGGACTCACTTATTACCATCTCCAAAACCCTCTGATCACAGTTCACCACTGGATTTTCTCCACCTTGCTCTTTGCCAACCGCCCCTCGCAATCCCATTTTCTCTGGCTTTTTCCACGTTTGATAAAAGACTCTTGCATTTCTGCTGTATTTAGGCTCCCCCTGTTCTGTTTCCGTGTTCTGTATCCGTTGGTTAGAGTCAAACAACCCACCATCGAATCGAAATGGCGTCAGAGAAGAGCTCCTCCGTGCTCCAAGTCACTTCTTCAGGCGGTACACGGCGGATGATGACTCCGTTGACCGCTCAAGTTGCTCTCAGAATCACAGCCATATTCTTCACACTCATCGCCATCTCCGTTACAGTCACCAACGGCCAATCCGTCGTCGTGTTCGGACTCGAGTTCAAAGCTCACTACTCCTACTCAACTGCCTTCAGGTAAACCCAGATCCAAAAAACAAATCAAAGATCCAATTTTTTACAACAGATATGATCATTTTTATTTATTTATTAACTTCCTTTTGGGTGTCTCTGTTGTCACAGGTTCTTGGTTGGTGCTAATGTTGTGGTGTGTACCTTCTCAGTGCTCTCATTGATCTTTGTATCCTTCTTAAGCCGTCCAGCATATCAACACCTCAAAAACTACTTCTTTCTCTTCTTGCACGACACGGTTAGCAAATTGCGTCCCTCGACTTTTTTTTGCAGTTCCAACAACAGTTCCCGTTATAAATTGTAACGTTAATTAATTGTAATTTGTATCGCAGGCGTTGATGGTGCTAATGATATCCGGATGCGCAGCGGCGACGGCAATCGGGTACGTGGGGAAGTATGGAGAGAAGAAAATGACTTGGCAGCCAACGTGCGGTTATGTGAAGGAGTTCTGCAACAAAATGACCGTCTCTCTTGTGTTTTCTTACCTGGCTTTCTCTGCCTACTTGCTTCTCACTCTCATGGGTGCTCACAATCTCATGCCTCGCCCTACTGAATGAACTCGCCAATACAATTTACAAGAGATGTATCCCATCCATCATCCGAAAACGACATCGAAAATATCACAGTTGATCAATTTGCTATGTCTTGTTAATTAGCATTTGGGACCTTTGCAAACTTGTGCTGCATGTACATATGGTTTCTTAACGGTTTAGTTTACATATTACCCCTGTAGAAATTATGGCTACTTAATCGTATTTATTTGTACTTCTGTCTCCTTGATGGTTGAGGAACTTGTGGCTTCTTTGGATTAGGAAATGTTGCACAAACTATTTGCCTATTTGGAGCTTTCTTGCCTTTCTTCTCCTAACGAGAAAAACTTACCTGTAACCGGAACGCAGCAATAAGAATGCCCCACAATAACGTCCTGTTGTAGGTAGGTTCGTCTTGTTTCCTTCCAAGTTTGAAGGGAGGACATTTATTTGGGTCGTTGACAACTTAAGAAAATACGTTGGGGCAGTATTTAATTCCCTAGCCACGTCGATTGCAATTAGGTAACTTGTCAGTGTAACAAAAAAGGACATGCCATTTAATTCAACAAGCTTGTCACTAACAGATGACCCCTTTGTATGTTTAAGTCACTAATAACATGATCAATACTGGACTAAAAGGATCACTCTGGAGTCTCTGTCTCGTCTTCGCTGTCTTTTGGGTGCGCTTTCAAGGTCTGGCCTTCAGCTTCCCACTTTTCGGAATCCCAGGCCGGGTCGATATCGGGTAGATGATAGTCATCAGGTCTTAATGACAGTTGAAATTCTGGCAGGTCAGGCAATGTTTGTAGAACCCTGCATCCGCACTAAGGTTAATTAGATGTTTTGGGGACTTAGATAATAGAGGAAGATACAGAAAATAATGGCCCCTTACTTTTCTTGTTCTAAAAGGTAGCCATACATCTGGGATTTCCTTGTTGCAACTTCAGGAATTTTCTGATGCAAATGCCTCATAGCTCCCCAGAGTGGAGGAGCCCTGAATTTAGAAACAAATAAAATAAATAAATCAAGAACATCAAGGCAATCAAAACTTACGAAAAAGGAACAAGAATGGTCAATAATATCCACCTGGTAACTGGAGCTGCAAGGCAAAAGGTTAAGCAAGCCTTCCTGCTCTCTGATAGAAGTTCTTCCGCCGCAAGAAAACAACATGCAGCGCTAACGTGGCAGGACGGTTCATTGCCATTGTCAAGGATCAGACCGTGATAGTAATACGATGCAGCCTGCACAGACATTTACATATGATATACATACATATTGATTGTATATATGCAGAAAGGGGAACAATTTCATATCAATATCGACTTAAAACCTTTGACTCGAGAAATTTCCAATTGATGAACCAGATATGCTTCTTCTCACACCAGTTATTCATGTCACATCCTGACAAGCAGTGATAGGCCTGATCTCGAAAAACAGAACAAACACAGTATATAGAAACTTAGCATATAATTGCAGACGTTTAAGTAAATCTGAAAGAAGCATAAGCTGTATGATTGAATTGAACTAATGAATGATTACAGCATAAATACAAACCTGACTAAAATAGGTCAACTGTTCACATGCCAATCTCCTTTTAACTGATAGTGTGGCCTTCTGACATTCAACAGCTAAGCCAAGCTGGATTTCTGTTCCCTGCATTTTTCATCAAGATCAGTACAACAACAAAGCCTTTTCCCACTAAGTGGGGTCGGCTATATGAATCCTAGAACGCCATTGCGCTCGGTTTTGTGTCATGTCCTCCGTTAGATCCAAATACTCAAGTCTTTTCTTAGGGTCTCTTCCAAAGTTTTCCTAGGTCTTCCTCTACCCCTTCGGCCCTGAACCTCTGTCCCGTAGTCACATTTTCGAACTGGAGCGTCAGTAGGCCTTCTTTGCACATGTCCAAACCACCGGAACCGATTTTCTCTCATATTTCCTTCAATTTTGGCTACTCCTACTTTACCTCGGATATCCTCATTCCCAATCTTATCCTTTCTCGTGTGCCCATACATTCCACGAAGCATCTTCATCTCCGCTACACCCATTTTGTGTACGTGTTGATGCTTCACCGCCCAACATTCTGTGCCATACAACATCGCTGGCCTTATTGCCGTCCTATAAAATTTTCCCTTGAGCTTCAGTGGCCTACGACGGTCACACAACACGCCGGATGCACTCTTACACTTCATCCATCCAGCTTGTATTCTATGGTTGAGATCTCCATCTAATTCTCCGTTCTCTTGCAAGATAGATCCTAGGTAGTGAAAACGGTCACTTTTTGTGATCTTCGCTAGATTGCTCCGGTCATTAGTGTGGATAAGTATATAAATGGATAGAGATAGGAAAGCAAACACAAGATGTACGTGGTTCACCCAGATTGGCTACGTCCACGGAATAGAGGAGTTCTCATTAATTGTGAAGGGTTTACACAAGTACATAGGTTCAAGTTCTCCTTTAGTGAGTACAAGTGAATGATTTAGTACAAATGACATTAGGAAATATTGTGGGAGAATGATCTCGTAACCACGAAACTTCTAAGTACCGGAGTGTGGTATCGTCTTGACTTGCCTTATCTGTCTCATAGGTAGATGTGGCATCTTCTCTGGAAGTACTCTTCCTCCATCCAGGGGTGGTATCTGTAACTAGTGGAGATGCACAAGGTAATGTATCAATTTCACTTGAAGCTTACTTGTAGTTTCAGGCTTGGTCAAGCGCGATACAAACCATGTAGTAGGAGTCCCCCATGTCGCCGAACTAGGGGATCTGCTGAAAGAGGTGACAGACAAGGTAAGCAATCAAAGCTCCGGCTGATTGTTCACATTCTCCCTATCTTGCAGGCAGCATGAAGGATAAAGAGAAGAAAAATGAGAAGAGATGATATGGGATACTTTTGCTTTTGAAGAAGTAACTTTCCACATGCTTATTCTTGAACTGGGCTGGAGGGTTTTCTGATTTCCTCCAGAGTATAAGGCCGACTGAAGAATTTGAGGGTCAAAACAAGTCCATCAAATCTAGAGTACGTTCGACCCTGCTGATATGGGATACTTTTGCTTTTGACAGAGTAGTGGATGTATCGGCACGTGTGCTGTTACGCTTGTCTCCACATGCTTCCTTGTATCCTTCTCACTTGCCCTATATGTTCCTCAGGTAGATGCGGTATCTTCCCTGGAAGCATAAGATGTTGAAGATGAGTACTCGAGAGCAATGCCAGGTAAGTAATCAGGTAAGGGGGTCCAGGCAGTCAGTTCCTGGCTGGAAGCTTGATTCCAAGTGCTGACTGATTGCTCTCTTTCTCCTTGTCTTGCAGGTAAGAACAAGGCCAAAGGAAAAGACAGGGAAAAAGCATGATATGGGATACTCTTGCTTTTAATCCTGATGATATAAGATATTCTTGCTCTAGTATAGCTTGTTTACAGAGGTATTATCGGGGGGAAAGAAAGCTGAATATTTCGAAAGGCTTCGTTGGGAGTGCCCTCTCAGATAAGAGGAAGGGTTGAGCATTTTTGCAGGTCTGCCTGTCCGTTGGGGATGGAGGTCGACATATATAGGAGTCTCCCTAACATCAAGTAATAATGCTATTCCTTTACCCTGCTTGGTTATCGCACGGTAGTGGGAGCTGCCAGCTTCACATGTTTTAACTCTGTCAGAGCACTTTGAAAAAGTGGTCTGTGGTATCTGGAAAGCTGATGTTGCGTGTGAAGATTACAGACAAGCTTTATCCAAAGAGATCCAGCTCTTGAAGTTGGGAAAGTGGTGCCTCTTCGGTTTTCGAACAAGCAATCCTGTCGGGGATCTGGCTCTCGAGATTCGGAGAACGATGCCTCTTTGATTTTTGAGAAAGCAATCATGCTGAGGGTCTGGCTCTCGAGATTCGGAGAGTGGTGTCTCTTCGATTTTTTAGAAAGTAATCATGTTGGGAGTCTGGCTCTCGAGATTCGGAGGGCGGTGCCTCTTCGATTTTGGAGCAAGCAATTTTGTTGGGAGTGTTTTCTTGAATGTGAGTAAAGGTTGGGCATGTTTGCTAGTCTACCTTGCCACGAAGCACAGAGGTTGACACACAGAGACTTTCCAATTATCCAGCAGTGGTACTGTTCCTTTACCATCTCTTCGATTTTTGAGAAAGTAATCATGTTGGGAGTCTGGCTCTCGAGATTCGGAGGGCGGTGCCTCTTCAATTTTGGAGCAAGCAATCTTGTTGGGAGTGTTTTCTCGAATGTGAGTAAAGGTTGGGCATGTTTGCTAGTCTACCTTGCCACGAAGCACAGAGGTTGACACATCGGGACTTTCCAATTATCCAGCAGTGGTACTGTTCCTTTACCCTTGTGGGTAATAATATGGTAGCTAGACCTTCAAAATTTATGTGTTTAAACTTTGTTAGTGTTGTTTCTTTGCTATTCTTTTACCCTTCTTGGTCAGAGCGATGTAGTGGGAGCTGCAAGCTTCACGTGTCTCAACTTTGTCAGAGAACTTTGGCAAAGTTATATATGGTACCCATGAGCTACTGTTGCGTGTGGGAAGTGGGTGATTGAACAGTACGATTCATGTGCTTTATACTTCGCCAGAAATCTTCGACAGAATGCCCATAATTTCCGCAAAGCTGAGTGTGCGTGTGACAGGTGCGGACAAGGCTGGAAAAGTAGGTGCCTCTTCGATTTCTGAGATCGGCCCTCGTGGTCTCTGAACAGCCCAGCTTTTGAGAAAGCAAGCCTCTTCGATTTCTGAGATCGGCCTTCGTGGTCTTTGAGCAGCCCAGCTTTTGAGAAAGCAAACGCCTCTTCGATTTCTGAGATCGACCCTCGTGGTCTCTGAGCAGCCCAGCTTTTGAGAAAGCAAACGCCTCTTCGATTTCTGAGCAGGCACCTCTTCGATTTCTGAAGCTTCGTCGAGTGCAAATTTTTATAGGGGCTGACATTAAGTTTCAAAGCACACTTGAATATCCACCAGTAGAAGCTCCATTCTTGCACTTCTAAGATCTTGATTTGTCCGACCTCTTCTCTCTTCAACACCTTTGAAAATGTCTGGCCCCTCCGACCGTCGTTTTGACTTTAACTTTGTTGAAGAGGCAGCCCCGCCTTCTCCAGACAACATATGGCGCCCATCCTTCGTCTCCCCTACTGGTCCTCTTACCGTTGGGGATTCCGTGATGAAGAATGATATGACCGCTGCGGTAGTGGCCAGGAACCTTTTCACTCCCAAAGATAACAGACTACTTTCCAAACGGTCTGATGAGTTGGCTGTTAAGGATTCTCTGGCTCTCAGTGTTCAGTGTGCAGGTTATGTGTCTAATATGGCCCAACGCCTATTTGCTCGAACCCGCCAAGTTGAATCATTGGCGGCTAAAGTGATGAGTCTCAAACAGGAGATTAGAGGGCACAAGCATAAGAATAAACAGTTGCACCGGCTCGCACATGACTATGCTACAAACATGAAGAGGAAGCTTGACCAGATGAAGGAATCTGATGGTCAGGTTTTACTTGATCATCAGAGATTTGTGGGTTTGTTTCAAAGGCATTTATTGCCTTCGTCTTCTGGGGCTGTACCGCGTAATGAAGCTCTAAATGATCAACCTCTGATGCCTCATCCTTCTAGGGTTCTGTCCAGTACTGAGGCTCCGACTGATCCCCCTCCGGTGCCTTCTCTTTCTGGGGCTCTACCGACTGCTGAGACTTCTCCTAAGCAACCTTTGTGAAGGCTCCCTCTTGTTTGTTTATTTTGACTCAAGTATATGTACATATTTGTAACTTATCGGGGATATCAATAAATAAGCTTTCCTTCATTTCAACGTATTGTGTTAAATACACCAAAGCCTTCTTCGCTAAGTTCTTGAATTTTCTTTTGTTGAAGCTTGTATGTTGAAGCTTTGTGAGTAGAGCATGTAGGTTGAGGTAGTGTTCCCTTAATTTCCCGAGTGAGGAAAACTTCTCTGTTGGAGACTTGGAAAATCCAAGTCACTGAGTGGGATCGGCTATATGAATCTTAGAACGCCATTGTGTTCTGTCCTGTGTCATGTCCTCTGTTAGATCCAAGTACTCTAAGTCTTTTCTTAGGGTCTCTTCCAAAGTTTTCCTAGGTCTTCCTCTACCCCTTCGGCCCTGAACCTCTGTCTTATAGTCGCATCTTCTAATCGGAGCGTCAGTAAGCCTTCTTTGCACATGTCCAAACCACCGTAACCGATTTTCTCTCATCTTTCCTTCAATTTCGGCTACTCCTACTTTACCCCGGATATCCTCATTCCTAATCTTATCATTTCTCGTGTGCCCACACATCCAACGAAGCATCCTCATCTCCGCTACACCCATTTTGTGTACGTGTTGATGCTTCACCGCCCAACATTCTGTGCCATACAGCATCACCGGCCTTATTGCTGTCCTATAAAATTTTCCCTTGAGCTTCAGTGGCATACGGCGGTCACACAACACGCCGGATGCACTCTTCCACTTCATCCATCCAGCTTGTATTCTATGGTTGAGATTACTGTCTTAGTTAACTTAAGACAAATCTAATTCATGTTTCTCCACTCCAAATCAATATCTATACTCAATCACAGGCTCATAACATCTCCTTCCTTCATTCTCTATCTTTTCTCAGATCTGACTTCCTTTTATATTGATTGGCACAAAAATATTGGGGGCCCTCTATTAGTTTATATTTGTTTTTCTATTTTTTTCGACTTAAAA